TTTAACAATATGAAGTGGCCTTCTTTGTCTCTTCGGAATAATTTTGGTTTGAAGTCTGCTGAGTCGGATATAAGTACTCTTGCTTACTTTCAGGCTCCATTTTCTTGGTATGTTTTTCCATCCTTTCATTTTACACTTGTGTTTGTCTTTGCCAATAAAGTATGTTTCTTGTAAGCAATAAATTTTTAGGTCTTTTTTTTTAATCTAATCCACCAATCTGTATCATTTATTGTAGAACTGAGACCATTAACATTCAGAGTTATTATCACAAAGTAAGTAATATTTCCTGTCATTTTGTTGTCTTGTAGTGTTTGATTCTTCACTACTCCTCATTTGGTTATGTACTCATCTAGTAAGATTTATTCTTTCCCCTATTTTTCCATATTTTGCATTTATCTTCTTCTTTTTTGTGTAGAATTCCTTTAAATATATTCTGCAGTGTTGGCTTGGTCATGAATTCCTTTAGTTTTTGTTTGTTGTGGAATGTTTATATTTCTCTTTCAATTATGAAATTTTGCTGGATAGAGAAATCTAGGATGGTATTTATTATTTTTCAGTGCTTAAAATGCATCATTCCATGCCCTTCTTGCTTTTAGAGTTTCTACTGAGAAATCTGCTGTTATTCTGTTGGGTTTGCCTTGATGTGTAACTTGGTGCTTCTCTCTTGCAGCTTTCAATATTCTATCCTTTTTCTTAATGCTTTAAATATAATATGACATGGAGAGGTTCTTTTCTGATCTTTCCTGTTTGGTGTCTTAAAAACCTCTTGTACCTGGTTGACCATCTCTTTCTTAAGATTTGGGAAATTTCTGCTGTTGAATATGTTCTCTATGTCTTTAGCTTGCACCTCTTCTTCCTCTATACCTGAGATTCATAGGTTTGGTTGTTTAACGGTGTTTCAGAGGTCTTTCATGTTCCATTCATACCTTTATATTTTTTTCTTTATTGGAATGTTCTAATTCATCAACCATATCTTCAAGCCCTTATAGTCTATCTTCAACATGATTCAGTCTGTTAGCTACATTTTCAACTGAGGTTTTTGAGTTTTAAGTTTTTCATTTTCAGAATTTTTATTTGATTTTTTCCAAGATTTCTATATCTTTATTGAATTCTCCTTTCATATCCTGCATTGTCTTCCTTATTTCATGAAGTCATTTATTTGATTCTCTTGGAACTCATTCAGGCATTTATTCATGTCCTCTTTAATTTAATTCTTATTATACTCTTTGAAATTCATTATCTCAGAGTTCATCCACTACACTATTATTTGATTACTTTATTGTGGAATTGGTAACTTTTGCAGGAGTCATGTTGCCTTCATTTTTCGTATTTCTTGTGTTTCTACATTTGTACATCTGAGGTCAACTCATTGGTACAAGGTTTTAATCACCTTCAGTCTTTTAAATGAAGTATTCTCAATATATTGATAAATTGGTACATAATTTCTCACCACTGAATTGAGGATATAGATCAGCAATAACAAAATCACCAGTTCAAAATCAAACCAGATATTTAAATGAAGTAAAGAACAACTAGAAACTTGATCTACACTCCAATAAGCTTATATGTGAAAGGAGCTACACTTCTTTCAGGGTACAGTAGGAGTTTAAAAATTTTAAAGGTGTAAGAATTAGTAAGTACTACAAAGAAGTGGGTTGAGGAAAAAAAGTGAAGAAGAAAGATAGAAAGTATATAGGATGAGGATATACAGAATAATAGTGTGTGAGGATACAGTATATTGCAGAGATAGACAATACAGTCAGGGAATGAAAAAGAATATAAAAATAAGAATAACAAAAAAGAAAGTAAAATAAATAAAAATAGAAAAAGTCAACTCTTCTTCCTTTATGAGGAGGAGAGTGTGTATCAGCTGTGCTCCATCAATGCAATAGGTTTTTTCCTCCAATCTCTGGCCCTCAGCATTCTGTCTGTGGTTTTCCTGATGTGTTCACTCTTGGGATTGCCTGTGATTCCCTTCTGGGTGCAGCTTGGTTATAGTGGTCAGTGGTCAGTTAAGGCTCTGGGCCTGAGGCCAGAGGGAGAGTAATGAAGATTCTGTGGAATAGCAGCAATTCTATAAAGTGGGACTGCTCCAAGAGGATTACAGCCAACTGTAGCAATTCTGGAGGTGTTGGGGCAGCTCTGGGAGTGTGTGACAGCAGCTGGGAGTGAAGAGGCCACGATGTGCAGCTAGCAAGTCAAGGCGTGGTCCACTAAGGATGTCTTCTTCTGTGGCCTGACCCGGGCCTGCTCCATGCTATGTGGGGAACACAGTGAGGTTTGCCATCTTCTGCATAGCCCACTGAACTGAGGCTCCATTTACAATGTGGCTAGGTCTTACCATACAAATACACAGGGTTGTAGGTCTAGGAATGAGGTTATTCAGGGCACACTTCCACAGCTTTCCCACTCTTGCAGCTCACTTTGTAACCATGCTTTACCCTGGAAAGGGGACTCAGGCACTGTTTAACTCTGGGTCATCTGCAGTGATATTTGCCATCTTTCCCCAGCTCATAAGGCTGGTGCTCCATTTGCAAAGTGATGACTGTCATGAGGCTCTCTCTTACCACATAAATACGCAGTGGATCCAGGGATGGATTGGGTTAAGTCCTGATCCATAGATCCACTCCTGCACCTGGCACTGGGAATTGAGACTCAGGACCTGGGGCTTCTTTATGTTTCACCTGAACAGTTTCTCCTTTCTAATTTTTATAGATTTAAGTTTGACATATCTTGATTTTTCCAAGTCTCTGTCTATTCATTTGCAGGTGCCCTCCCTGTCTTTCTAAATTGCTGACTTTTTCTTGTAGCTATATACCTGAAATTTTATTTCAGGTTCAGGGAGAGGCAGGAACACAGTGAGTATTTCTAATCCTCCAGCTTGTCTTCTTCCTAAGTATTTTTTCCACAGTACTGGAGTTTGCTTGAACTTAGCCCTTGAGCTTGCTAGGCAGGTGCTGTACCACTTGAGCCATGTCCCAAATCCCCTAATTATTATTTTTAAGAACTACAATAATTATAAATATTTATGGGGTACAATGTGATAATTTGATACATATATATATATATTATGTAATGATCAGATCAGGGTAATTAGCACTTCATCACCTTCTACACCTTTCATTCCTTTGAAGTGTGAGTATTCAAATATCTCTCTTACAGTTATTCGGGAATATACAATCCATTATTGTTAGCTATACTCATTCTAGTGTGCAATACACACAGCACTTATTTCTCCTATTTACTTAAGACTTGTACCCATTGATCAGCCTCTCCCTATTCTACCCTCCAATTTCCCCTCCCAGTTCCTGGAAACTATTACACTACTCTCTACTCCATGCAGTCACCTTTTACTAGTACCTTATATGAGTAACATAAGATACCATTTTAAAGTTATACAAAATGTAAAGTACATAGGAATAATTCTAATGAAATAGGGCAACCTTTCTTGGAAAACACACAAGACTATAGAGTGTCTAAATAAATGGAAATATATAGAGACTTCACTCACAGAACATGCATAAAGTTAAAGATGCATCAAAAATTATAACACTATTTTGACAACTCTTGTTTTGATGCAATTACTTTTTTACCCCAAAACACACTACATAAATACATTATAAGAAGTGATATTTCAAAATTACAAATTCAAACAAAATGCATACTCATTAACTTACTTCATTAAATATTTTCGACAAAGATAATATCATTTAGAAAGTAGGAATTACATGTCATGTTTGGATTGGAATGCTATCAATAAAATGTATAACGGGGTTATAAACAAGTAAGCGTCTAATGAGCTTCCTACTTAGCATATCAACTAATTCACCTTTCAGTGCAACAAGATATAGAAGTAGATGCTTTTAAAGTTCTTGAATACTTGGATTTTTGAGGTTTTGAACAGTTATATGAGGGATCATCATATATCTTATACTACAAAATGTCTATATCCTGATACTTAGTTTTTGTGCACTATTATGTATAAACTGAATGACGTTACCTAAATGTCACAAGCATATCACATTTGGTAAGATTCAGATTGTAGGTGGTGGTAGAAATACATAGTACAGTGTGTTGGGAGCCATTCCTCCACACTGAGAATGAGTCGGGACATAAGCATCATAAATTCCAATCTTATAACAGGTCAAGTTTTCTAGGAGTAGAAAAGCTGGGGAGAACTGAGGGAATGGGAGAATTACTGAGTTCTTTGGGTTATGCAGAATTTAAATGGTAGATTATTCAGAACTAGACAGGGTTGTACAAGAATCCTGAGTGCATATGGGGAAAGAAGGGCATTTCAGTTTTGAAGAAGAGAATTGTGATATTGAAGAGGTAGAGAGGATGAGAATTAGGAGAGAAGCAACTTTTCAAATACGTATGCTCCATCATGGAGATCTTTTGGCTATCTGCTTACCGTATTACCAGAACAGTTTATATGGTCCTGGCACAGCTAGGGGCACAGCCAATGATTACTGTTCAGTTGTACATAATACAATGATATTGGTAAATGTTTAATTGGGGCACAAGCAATGGTAATTAAGTCAGCAGAAACCCTTGCAAAAAAAAGTAGTTCAAGGCTTAACTAAGACATAGGTAGACAAGAGTTAAAGGGTACCCAGATTTGAAGCTGAGGGCACAAGGACCATATTTGCCAGGCCCCTTATCTATAAAGTCCTCTGCTAAAGGGAACAAAAATGTCCTAGGAAATCTTGAGACTATGCTAGAACTTTGAGGCTACCTGCCATGGACATGGCCTTAAAAGGGATAAGGGAGTCTTAGAAAGAACTACAAGACTATCCCCAGGGAATAATGTTGGCATGGTGAGATCTCAAGAACAAATAGTTGGCCTCATGACAGTTGGCTCCCAACAGTGACCAGTTGGAAGTTCCTAAGTGAATATGTGTGTTTGTGTGTGTGTGTGTGTGTGTGTGTACAATAGAAGTGAGAGAAGTGGGGAATGAAGGCAGAGGGAGGGAGGGCCCAGATGCTCAGCCCTATAAATGAGCAGCTGGGTTGCAGCAAAACCATTGCACCTCACTATACCCTTGGATTTCTCTTCTGAGTCTGAAACCAGCACAGCCAATGTTATCCTCAGTGTGTGCCGAAGTCCAAGGACAAGGTGAGTGAATGAAGTCACTTCTGTGAAGCTGACCTTGTCTCTGGGCATCCCCACTGTTGAACGCTTCCTGGCTACTTCACCTACAATATGTATTCACATCACTCAGGGGTCTGTGCACAGTGCCATGGGGGAGATCTTACAGATCTTGACTCCATTAACCTCCCCCTTCCTCAGTGTCTCCCTTCCTAGGAGTCTCTATTTTCCTGTCTCTCTTCTGTTAGTCAGTTCCTCCATATCTCCCCTCCTTATTTCTGTCAGGACCTCCCAGTCTGCCTACCTGCCCTCCTGGTAAAAGCTGAGGGCAGATGGCTTGAATGTGACTGAGACCACCAGCTTGGATTATAGAGGTCTGTCTCCACAAGCTGGGGATGGGGAGACAACCTAGGTTAATCTCTTATTTCTAGAGCTCCAGTAATTTTCTGGCTCCTTAGTTCTGATATCACACCTCAGGCAGACATGCCCAACCTACTGGCTAGTCTCTCAGATTCTTCCATGTTTAGCTTTTTGTCTCCTCATTTTTTTTCTGGGGCTCTTGGTATCTGTGTCTCTTGACATTCTTCTATGTATTAGCCTATCTTATATTTTCAGTCTTCCTGTGTCCCTGTATTTCAGAGTAATTTCAGTGTAAAAGGCTTTCACCTTTTCCTTTCTCTTTTGTTTGGTAGGCCTCTTCACTATTACTGATTTTTTTCATTTCAGTCTTTCCTGAATGTTCCTTGTTATGTTTGTGCATGTCAGTTTTTTCTATTGTTTGGCATTTTTCTTTCTTGCTCCCTGAGGAAAGGAAGGTTGAAATGTTACTTGAGGATATTCTCTCTTACAGACTGCGATAAAGAACAGTGTTCCAAATTTTGTTGTTGTTTGGTTTTGGTGGTGGTGGTGGTGGTGGTGGTGGTGGTAGGAGAGAGAGAGAGAGATGTTTCTAGGAACCAGATTAAAGGAATGGGTACTTAAACATATCTGGAACAAGCAAAATAAGATGTAAAGTAATTACTGCCAGTGAGAAGCAGGAAACATTAGGAAGAGTTAGAAAGTGTGGATGAGATCCCCTCTTCTTTCTGGGTTCTGCAGGAGCTTTTCAGCTAAATATGGGAGGCTGGCCAAGTCTTTGCAGTATTCCTTCCACATGTGAAGGAAAATCATAGGGAGACAGAAGAAACAGAGATCAAAACTAACTAACTAATGTTTATTGTCTAGTCTGTACCAGTCACTACTTATATTATTTTAGTTAATTCTCATTTTAGAAGAGAAAAAACTTGAGACTCAACTAGCCAATTCTATACTACAGATGAATTTCAAGTACGCCTGATTCCAAAGTTCCACTACTCTACTCCGTGCTGTGCCTCACTGCTTCCTATAAATGATGAGGTTAAGTTTCAGGTACATGTTTTCTTTAATACATGAACATTTATGTATTTTATTTTTAAATTTATACATCAGCTTTAAAATCGTTTTTAAATGATTAGGTCTGAAGGAAAAAAGATTGTCAGGAAAATCATTCTTTTGCAAGTCCTTTAGCTTTAGGTAACAAAGTCATTGCACTTTGCATATCAAATCTGACTCAAAGTATGACTGTGCATTCTTCTCTTTAATAAACAAACAAATATTATGGGTATTTATGAAATATAACATGATGCTTTAATATGTGTATACAGTGCGAAATGGCTAAATCAAGCTAGTTAACATACCCATTACCTCACATGCCAATTTGTTTGTGATAAGTACATTTAAGATGTACTCTCTCAGCATCTTCAAGTGTACAGTACGTTATCACTATCTTGTACAATAGATTTCCTAAATTTATGCCTCTTAAGTGAAATTTGGTGTCCTTTGACCTACATCTCCCCAATCCCTACCCTCATACCCAGCTTCTGTTCTCTGTGTTATGAGATCCAGTTTTTAGGTTCCACATACAAGTGAGATCATTCAGTATATATCTCTATACCTGGTTTATTTCATTTATTTCCAATGTCTTCTAGGTCCATCTATGTGGTCCCAAGTGACAGAATTGCATGCTTTTTAAGGATGAACAGTATTTCATTTTAAATCTATTCACATGTTGATGGGCATGGTATTTAATTTCATATCTTGGCTATTATGAATAATGCTGCAGTGAACACAGGAGTGAGGCTATGTCTTTAACATACTAATTTCATTTTTTTGACTATATACCCAGATGTGGGATTGCTGGATCATATTGTAGATCTATTTTTAGTTTGTTGAGAAAACTAGATAATATTTAACCCAATGGCAGAACTCATTTAAATTCCCAGCAACAATTTGCAACGGTTGCCTTTTCTCCACATCTAACAGATGTGATGTGGTACCCCATTGTGGTTTTAACTTGCATTTCTCTGAGCATTAGAAATGCTGACCACTTCTTCATATGCCTGTTGGCTGTAAGTATGTCTTCTTTTGAGAAATGTTTCTTCAAGTTCTTTGCCTCTTTTTAACCTGATTATTTGCATCCTTGCCATTGAGATATTTTGAACTTCTGAATCTCACAAATACAACTTTTAATGTTGTAATATCATCTATTTCTTAGTCTAAAACTCTCATCTTTCAGTTCTTTCTCCCCTTATGTCCTATTAATCGAGAAGATAGTACTAATTCTCTCTCTAGCAGGTTCTTTCTAATATTCTCTTGGATGGGTTCTTTTTAATATTTTTTCTCTCTCCCTCCCCCCTTCATTTTCTCTCTTTTCTTTTCTAACATATTTTGATATTTGCAAAAATCACAAATTTTTGCAGGTATTTTCAGTAGCAAAATAGCTCAGATTAATCAAGGACATGGAACACCTCTAATTATTATACAATCATCTGAAATTCAGTAGTTTTCATGATTATTAAATTCTTATCCCCAATTCCTTCTTCATCCATACGTGGACATATACATAAGTTCTGAATAGTCACAGTAGCATTATTATGGATATCATTTTCTCTGTATTTCTAGTTCTACTCTTCGTTTAAATCTTTGTGTTGAAGGTAACCATGACAATAGAGAGGAGTCAGTCTGATTTTATCTTAGCTTCTCCAATGGAATAGTAGATTCGTGTTAGGATAGAACTGGTGAAGCAATAAGGGTAAAGGAAAGAGATCAAGTTTTGAGATAAATAAAATAAAATAAGTTTGAGTTACAGTATTTTCATTACTTATGGTGTCTGCCATTAATGCAGATCAAAAGGACCTTCCAGGAGAGTTTATGGACTACCTTTACCGTTCAGACAGAGATCTGGCTCATAACAGGGTCTTTCATGCCACATCAGGGCACATCAATAACTCTTGGCCATAGCCAGGCATCTTCAAGGGTTGCAGGTACCTCAGAGACCCTCAGTTTCAGAAGGATGTGGAGAAATTGAAGTGGATTGAGTAGCAAAAAGGCAGATGAAGTAAAGTGAAGGCAGAAAAAACTGACATGGAAAAAGATGAGAGAATTTAGAACAGTTCTACAATTTAACTCAATTTGATAAATCCCTATTGCAAACCAATCATGAGGAACATCATGAGGCATCATGGGGAGCGAAGAGTCTAGTCTGCTTTCTGATAATTGTCAATCTAACAGAAGGTTGAAGAAAAGGGAAATGTGAATGAATTTAAGATAGAAAATGGTAAGACAACAGGAAGTGTGTAGCTGAGACATTGGAATGGGTTGCTAAATTATAGCAGAATTCTCAGCAAAGGCCTACAAGGACTTACAATATGATCATTTTTCTTCCATAAAAGCCATTTAGGGATATCCTCCAAATGTCTGCCCAAACACAGATTATATGCTTTTAAAATTGTATTAAGAAATACATGGCAAAAGTTTATTTTCTGTGTCCTCAAAGTTCATATACATGCATTATAGTGAAACTTATGGCATTTCAAATTTTTTCTCAGATTTTGAAATCTTCATCTATACCATAATTCCAAGGCTTTCTCAGTAATACATAAAATCATTTGAGGAAAAAACAGGGAAACAACTATTCTTTTCCGTTCAGTTAAGTTTGTGATAAGGGCCTGAACTTGTCTTTCTAATAACAGGGCTGATACAATGGTCTGCAGGATCAGAGATGCCAGACAGACCAGAGCTCTTGTGTTTAGGGTCTTTCTATAGGTTTTGCTTTTTGCTGTTTTTTTCTCCTAGTAACGGATGTAGTTTCCTTATAACACTGCTAATGTGAGACACTTACCCAACCAATTACTTGGTTCTCTCCCTGCACAAATAGGCAGCAAAGTCTTTCAAATATAGCTGCAACTTGTGCCTTCTGTCCTTATTTCTGGTTGTGGTTCATACTGGTCTCACTAATAAGGACCCCTGTAAGACTTATTTGTCTTTTTATTTCAGTAGGGCTACTATTAGGGCTCATCCCTCATTGATTTCTAGGGTGTGCTGTCATGTCTGTATTTTTAAATGGTAATAACCCTCATTTTACTTCATTAATCTGTCTTCTAAATTCTGTTGGTTTTCACATTTAGAAAAAAATGCATGTATTCTCTTATTCTTAGATAACAAAGAGAAACTGATTAGCTACTTTAAGGCAAACTATACACTCTCTGGATTGAATCAGGAGGGTGGATGCCTTTGCCGTCTTCCTGTGGGCTGTTTGTTTAAACATGACATTTTCAGAGAAGAAAGAGGGAATATAAGGCTTATAATTCCTAAGTACTGGCACTTGCTTCTCTGAATTGAGAAGCAAAGGAAATCTTTATTCAGGTCTTAAATGAGCCCCATCTTTTATTTTACATATTTGATTTAAAATTATTAAGTATTGGCCATTTTGAAATTTGATACTTCCAATCTGTCAAACTTGGGAGAAGGAATCTCTGTTTATTGTCCTTAGTAAAGATGGAATGGAGCCTTCTTTTCATCACTAGTTCTGTCCTTTTTACTACAATAATCAAATATCCACTAATAATTCAACTTACTAAAAGAATATCTATAATGGCTACATTCATCCTCTTAAGGTCTCCCAAAAAATATAGGTATATTCCAAATTTACTCCTTAGCTGAAGACTTTC